TGATCTACATTTTCAGAGATGATTTCAATGGAATGAGGTATTTCTTCTTGCTTTTGGGTTATTATTGGTTCTTCATTAATTGCTTTCATATCTTCTATAAAAACTACATCCCTAGCCACTATTATTTTTCTAGGATTATGAGAATCAATCAAACGATAACCTTTAGTATTGGGGTACAGTAACCAACAAATATTCAAGGTACTGTTTTAGAATTAAGCTTAGAACGTTTATTTTTTGGTCCTAGCACATGAGCTTCACAACCGAAAACTTTTAGATGTGAACTTTTATCCCCCATTGTCCCTCTGGAATTTTATTATTTAAAGCTTTTGTGGGAAAGCGAATTTTTAAATATATAGCTGTATTGACAGCTTCTCTCCAGTAAGCTTTCGGAAGATTAGAATCTCTAAGATTGACTTGACCTTTTCAATAATCGTCCTATTTACCCTTTCTGCAATCTGATTTTTAACCGACTTCAAAAAAGGAGGAGGTTATCAATTCGTCGCGACATTTTTTTTTTATGTATGTTCAGCGATAATTCTTTAACACGGTGTCCGATTTCAATAATTCTTTTTTTGTTAGAAAGGGGCTACTTCAGGGGTGGTCCCATATAAATTTGGTCAAAATCTAATAATTGGGTCCATGAGAAAATCCTCAAACTCTTAATTTTTTATGTATGTTTAGCGATAATGCTTTACCACCTTGTCCGATTCATATGATTCTTTTTTTGTTAGTAAAGGGGTACCTCAGGGGTGATCCCATATAAATTTGGTTAAGATGTGGTGACGGCATCTGCACGTTTTTGAAGTCGGTTTTTTTAAATTTTTAATTTCTAATACTTGTTATTTACGAATTCAGTACCGTTATCAGAACGTAAAATCTTTATCCGTTTTCCTGTTTGATTTTCAGTAAGATTTTTAAATTCTACAAACTTTTTTAACATTAACTTTTGACTTTAGAAAATATCCGAAAGTTTTACGGTGAAAGTCAGTAGATATAATACACCTCCCCAAGATTTGGTGCTCATAGGTCCACATAAGTCTGTGTGTATTAATTCAAGCAAGTCACTTGTTGTTTTTGAAAGTATTAAAGGGCCTTTACTTAACCTACCTTGGAAACATGATACGCAAGTTTGTACCAGTTCTCTCTCTTGAAAGTCTACACCCAAACTTCTCAGTTTAAGAGTTTGTAAAGCTTGTACGTTAAGATGTCCAAGGCGTCTTCGCCAAAGAGTTTTCTGTTTATTAAGTTTATAGATGCCTTTGGAGACAGAGGCAGTAGCACCTTCTGTGCCATACACGTTACAACTATCTTGTTGAAAGGAAAAAACAATTACAAACCCCTTATTAACTAAACTATAGATAATAAATTAGTAGATAAATTTGGTACGTATAAAACATCAGAAATTTGATGAATGCTATTAGAAACATTAATAAATACAGTACCCTTCCTTTCACTCAAAATTATATCATTTGCAATACTAATTGGTCTCTTTTCAAACATGAAATTGCCTATTCAATTTTTTCTATTAGTCATGTAGCACCTGAATCAATAAACCAATCATGTGACAATGATGAATTATTATTAATTATTATAATTATAATTAATAATTATAAAAAGTGTAACATTATTAGTGTAATTTGCTGTATCAACATTAATATCGTTACCTTTCTTAACATTTCTTAATTTCCAACACTTGGATACTACATGGCCTAATTTTTTACAATATGTACATTTTTTTACTATTTTATTTCCTGACGACACCAGAGCTGAACCTCCATCGCTATTTATCTCAAACCGTTGATCTTCTCTCAGAAGTATTGGTGCTACAGAGTCGTTGATTTGTAACGAAAATTTAGTTCATGTAATATTTTTTGCAGATGAAAATATGATATATTTAGAAGAATAGGACTATTTTCTATTTCTGTAATTCTTTAAATGTAGGAATTTCATTTAGAAAAAAAAAAAGAATGTGTACCATTTGCTTTATTACACCCAAATTTCAATAAAAGTCTTGTTACTTCCTGGGGACTTTTTCGGATGTGCGTCTTCTCCAATAACTGTGTCTTTAATAATGGTATACACTGTTCGCTTAGATACTCTATTTATAGTTCTTACATTTAGTAGCTATTTCATCCACAGAAAGTAAAACAAAGTCTTTTCGAAGATTATTAAATACATATATACGATATTATTTCTTATATAGATACAAATTGATGGATGAGGTATAAATAAAATGTCTACCTCTTAAACCTGTACTACGTTATGCAAATTAAATTACTTGCATTCCTTTCTTTTCTATTCTACAGACCTTTAAAAATCGCTTACAGTATAACGAAGTTACAAATCTTTCCTGTAATAAAAATAAAAAGTTGCAAACTAATAACAATTAGCTTCCAATTTTGAAATTAATTAAAAACGCAATTATATTTTGTAAACGTTATTTTACGTCACCTGGCAAACAAAGGTAGAATTTCATTATAACACAGTTTTTAGCTGACATTTTTATTAGCAAAATAGTGTAGAAACAATGATTGATTGCTTATAATATAACACTTATTTTTCTTGTTTCTTTCGTAAGAAAAAATCGCTAATGGAATCCGTAAATAAAATTTTATCTACGAGACACAAATATTCTTCCACTAATTATAAATGACGGGAAAACTGAAAACGTCTCCAAAGCGAAATATAGATCAGAAGCAAGTGGCGATGAAAGCCAGATAACAGATGACTTATTGCTTCTTATCTTTAATTAACCAACTTTTGAAAGTGAACTGCAGGTGACTCTAGAGAAATTGCCTTACAAAAATGTATCCCTGGCTTCCTCGCGTATACGTGGCAATTTATAGACTGTATTATGTTTCATTTTTGGAACGGAATATGTAACATGCAAATCCTTGTAACAAAGTTTTGAAAAACTTTAAATTGAATCTCAAAGTTTCTAAATTTAAAAAGAAAAAAGTTGTCATAAAAATATACGCCTTTTTTTTTCAACTAAAAACTTATTTTAAATTTATCCATTATATTATATTTTATGATTCTATTTTATTTACTTTCATATCTAAAATTTAATCATAAAAAAAACAGACCATAAGAATAAAACTGGATGCATTTTACGGCATATGTGAAGCTCTATTAAATTCTAAGATGCTTTATTTTCTCAAAGAAAGTGATACTTACTTTTGACTTCTTACTATCAGAGATTCCTCGGGCGCCAGTTTTATTTAGGTCATTTGTTCCACAACCCTCCGGTACAGCCTGCGAAGGGTGAGCCGGCAGCTTTAGTTGAAATTGACGGAAAAATTCTAGGGGTCTATGTTAGTAACGTACTCTAATTTTTAATGAGATTATCAATTCCATTCTTTAATAGTCGTAAAATTCCCGAGATAATTTCCATAGGCAGTTTTTAATATTAAATTAAAAATAGTACATAATGGGGGTCGAAAGAATTTGCGCACAATCTTTAATTAAAAAGGTAGGGATATAATCAGGTATCATAGTCATTTTTGACTTTAATCATGTCATAGCATCTAGCACTTTCTCAGATACATGATTTATAGATAAAATAAGCAGATTGACAGAAGTTGATTGATTATATACATTAATCCCCGATGGTAGTATGCATTATCTGTAAATGCATTATCTGTAAATATTTTAATAATTTGTACTGCATTTGGAAAGCTAGAAGAGTTTACGTACGTACAAAATCGCTGAGGGTTTTCTTGAACAGTATTTTCTATTTTTTGAACCCATTGGTAATGGGAGAAGAGCGGAAAGCAAAATGCATATATATTTCAGTTTAAGGATAGAGTTGTGCGCAAGAGTATCGTAGTTATTCTGCTAGTCTTGTAATTATTTATTGTTTAAAGTGTCTTTAGAATATCGACCATTTCTTCGTAGATTAAAAAAATTAAGTTAAAGCCCAATAAAGTGTTTTATAAAGCGTGTGCCAAAATAGTTGTTTGTTTGACTTTTTTGTAAAAAAAAATTAAGGTGGTTCAACACGTGAAAACATAATTGCATAAAGTCAAATTGCAAAAAATTAAGTTACAGCTAGAGTTCAACAATGCGTTATAAGGTCATTTCAAAACGTGGACGAAACAAAAAGTGACTAGGATATTTTCAATCAGGACTTGTGCAAAATTCTTGTTGCGGAAAATATTCGCTTGAAAAAGTTGCAAAACCTACATCTAAGAGGATATTTACAGTGGTATTGCAATCACACTAGTTCTGGCTAATGTACACTAAAAAAAAAACTTTAAACAATATTTTATTCGAATATAAGTTTATTAATATATCCCTATTATAATATACCTATTGCATTGTATTCTACTGAGCTTCTTCTTCTTTTCAAATAAATATTACAAACAGTTGTTATTATTACCTACCTATGTCTCTTTTAATCGCTCTTCTATTATGCATTTTGCATTATTTTTAATATTACAGTAAAATAAGTGCATATATTTCGCTCTCTAGTAATGAGCAATTTTAATATGTCGGTTAAATTTGAATGTATTTAGAATCTCAAGTGTTCAGATTTGAACATTTTTCTTTATGTTCACATACTAAATTAACATCCTGTACATGAAATAAATTATATTTAATTAATATGTTTATTTTCATATGCAGGTACTATAAACTATTCCAATTTCATTTCAAGTTCAATGTATATCGTAATAACAAAAATGCTGAATTGTATTTTAAAATCATTTCAAAACATTGAACTGGCATCGAAATTCGAATAATAATATTTTTCTAATGTACCTTTAAATATTAAATATTGCTAATTGTTATTTTATATTGTTAAATCTGTGATAGTATAAATATAAATGCAAATAATAAAAAAAGGAATTGACTAACAATATGTGGTAGTATACTTTACAAATATCTCTGAAAAGAAATTCATGAAAACCATCTTGTGGTATTAATTAATAATTCAACAAGACATCTTGTAAATTTAAACCAACCCGATCAATGATTATTATATTAATATTATTTTCCAGATGGTCCAGTGGTGGTGGTCCGTGTCGAAGAAGTGCTACTCGTGGCCCTTGTTCTGGTCATCTGGGTGGCCGCCATCGCTTTATTCTTCAACCGCTGGGGCAAGATCCGCATGCTGGAACCCTACCAACCGAAGTTCTGTCAGCAGCCGCACCGACCCTCCTGTCCCTTGGCGCCCCTTAGCCCCCCCGCAACGGCCAATCAAGTGAGCATCAGCAACTCGACTAGCTTACCCCCTCCTTTGAGGACTCTGAAAACGCCGATCGTACGTCTATGCTATGTTCAGTTCTGAGCACCATAATCACCAATAGAGTAGAAAAAGATAGGTTTATGACGCTTTTAGACACAGCACCCCGTGTTTATACACACAAATACGAAAACCAGCGTGTATTAAATGATTTATTGCGATCTTTTGGAAATTTCTAGGATTTGGATATTATTTTTAAACAGTTATAGCAAAAATCAAAATTATTTAGACAAATGAAACATCTAACCATTATTTCTTGTCTGTTATCTCTTACAAGTGCTTAAAAATGATTATACTTTGTGTGCTAACGGTTAAGTTATTATTTTGGAATACCAGAGGTCGTGAATTCGATTCCTGCCGAGAATTTCAATTTTCCTTCACATTGTTTTTAATCTTGGTGAATTTCCTTCTTCAATTGAATATTTGTTGGTTTAAATATCTTTTAAAAATGTTTCCGCCCAAAAAATTGTCGTTTTCCCCCAAAATAAAATAGAGTACGCTAATGGAATTCTGATACTTTAGTCAGTGCAGAAACTTGAATTATGCTCATCGTAAATAAACCACCGAGACTCCCTGTAGATGTCGCATCTTATTCTCCATATTATTCTACTTCTCATTCCTCACATTTGTACAATTCTTAAGAGCCCCTCGAGCATTAAACATAGGTGCCTCGAAATTAATCATCTACCTTTTCGTCTTACATCACGAACGCAGGAAACAAATTTTATTTGTCAATAAATCTTCCGAGACATCACCATCAAAATATAATTTTCTCAACATTAGTCGCTTATTATGGCAGGTGAAGATAATGACGCAGAAATTCAAGGAACTAATTTTCTTATTATTTGCAAGGAATTGTTCATAATACATATACATTCCAGATGTTACAATATTTTAATTATACAGGAGGTTATTAATATCATAATGTTTATACTTTCTTTTTTTTTTTTTTTTCATCATTTATTACTTCTAGCCAGTATAACGGCATCATTTCAGTTTCTTTCTTTTGGATATCACTGATAAATATATAGGAAATTCGGCAAATCTAGTAATTGTCAAGGAATTTTGCGGGATTGAGAAATTTCTGGGAATTGTCCAGCAATTCTGGATTCTTTCTATAAATGAACTGTTATTTTCTCCAAACATATGCAAGAGTTGAAACCAATTGTATGCAAATTTAGAAGATTACGTTGGTTTTGTTTGTGTCAAAGCTATTATCAATATTTTTCACAATCAAACTAAAATTAACATTTCTATAAATTTTATTTTGACCGTAAACATGTTGAGAATCAAATTTACAAGTTCGCAAAAAGATGGCAAATTATCGTATGCATTTTTTAAAATTTTATGTTGCAAAACGGTCTTAAAATCCTATCTCGTTTTGCTGATGAAATAACAAGTCTTGTTCGTCTCGCCTCGCAGCCTTCATTTCGCGTCTGGTACGAGAGTTTCGTAAAAGTATTTTTTGTTGGTAAATTTCAACCAATTATAACAAACTTAGTACCAAATAAATGCTAAGGGTTAGAGAGCAATTTATTTTTTTTGTCCTAGTTTGCTCTCGATGAATTTTTAAAACGTAGCAAATACAATTAATTAGCAAATTTCAAACTCGCTTTAAATAACAAAAACATTGCAATATTAATTTTTCCTTACAATAATTACAAAGATTTAACCTTCTACATTATGTACCTACGTTTTTAATTCAAATTGACTAATTCAAAAGATTTTATTTTCAGAAAAATCTATTTTTTCGAGTTGTAAGTCAGAAAAAATCGAGTTTAAGTCAGAATAATCTATTTTTAAGAGTTCTAAGTGGAACTAATCTATTTTTTCGAGTTGTAATTAAGAAAAATTTCTGACTTACAATTCGGAAAAATTAAATATAAATTTTGTGGCACTTCTACGCTTCAATAACTTTCGGTATCGGTATTATAAAAACAAATCGGTCGGCGCGGCGTTATAATAGCGCCATCCTTTATAGTGCAGACACCTCACGCAAAAATATTTACCTGCGAGACTCGAGAAGAGATCAATAAAAGTCTCGTCGGAAAAATTGATTATTTCGACTTAGAACCACATAAATAATATAGAAGACCAATATAAATATAACATTTAAGCAGAAATTGAAACCGAATGTGCATAAAAATGCGTCTCTGCGCCTGACATCGCAAAATAGTGTGTCTAGAAGCATGTTTATTAAACATACCTAACACAAAAGAATTTCAATTTTATTTATTTTTAAATTATATGATTTAAACAGTTTATACCTACGAAATATCGCCACAAAATAACTTATAAACATTTAAATAATCAACTAATAATATTTATGTGTAATTAAATTCCCAAAATTATATACAGGGTGTTTCTAAATTCATGCGACAAAATTCAGAAGGTGATTGCTCGTATGAAATTTTCCTATAACAAAATTACCTCAGCCCACTCATTTCCGAGATATCACCCTTAAAAGGTGGTGACTAAAATTGAGTTTTTATTTTTACACCTCAAATCTTTGAACAATCCATGACATGTAGGCTACGTTCATGTATTTGGGCTAGAGGTGGTCATTTCCAGCATTTATTATGAATCGTATTACGTTTTACATCTTTGCTGTTTTCCACTCAATTTATTAAAAAAATTATAAATTATGGTGGGTGTGGGTAGCTCAGTGATAGAGTCTCTCCCTGCGGATCCAAGGGTCCCAGGTTCGAATCCCACCGTTGGCCGGGATTTTTTATTTAATTTAATTATTTAAAATTAATTCTGATGCCTTGGTAGGATTCCCCACTCGACCATTCACTGTTGGGTTCTAATTAACAGTGCTGTTCCTGAAGTGGCGCTGGGAAACAGTAACAAAGCCTACACAGAACACACATGATTGATAATTTAAACACAAAACTGAGACTGGCATATTAGGTACATACACCTAGGCCATAAATCGAAAAGAAAAAAAAAAAGAAATAAATTATGGTGTTTTTTTTTTCTCTACAGCTATTAGTTTTGGAAAAAAAAATTAAGAATAAAAAAATTTTTAAATAAAGGATTTCAAGTTATAATTTTATTTCATAAAACTTCATCTCGAAAAAAGTTTTTATATGAAATAAAATAAGGGTTGCTTATTTCACCCACCCTATAATGAAACAGGAATATTGAAAAAATACCCGTGGTTAGTCCTTTGCGACTGCACGAAAATTACAAAATTTCAAGTTTCTAGCTTTACTGAAATTTTAGAAAAAAAATAAAAACTTAGAACTTGGTAGGTATATTTATTTATTAAATAACACACAAGAACTATAAAAATAACAAATAACAAAGTAGATAAAATCAGAACTTTTGTGTTGTCGCGGTCACGCCTTTAATTTTCTATTTTTACTTTCCTATCTGTATACAGATATAAGGAAAGTATAGGAATCATGATTTTTTTCGACCTCGAGTTTTTGACGGATTTTTACGTTTTGAGGTCCCCTGAATCCGTTTTAACTATTTTCGCGATGATGTCTGTGTGTGTGTGTGTGTGTGTGTGTGTGTGTGTGTGTGTGTGTCTGTGTGTGTGTCTGTGTGTGTGTGTGTGTGTGTGTGTGTGTGTGTGTGTGTGTGTGTGTGTGTGTGTGTGTGTGTGTGTCTGTATAACGCATAACTCATGAACCAATACACAGAAAAACACCAAATTTTAAACTTAAGCTTTGTTTCACCGTCCAATGAGCTGATTAGATTTTGGGCAGAGTCGGAACATCTGGGGGGGTACTTTATAGGTGGTCATTTTTATATTTTATGGAATATATCTGTTATTTACGTTTGGAGAAGAAAATTTTTCAAATAAAAGTTACTTCTAATATAATTATCTATAATTTTTGTTATATACAAAATTTTCCTAAAATGGTCCGTATTCGAGAAATTTGACAAAATGTAAAAAAAATAATTTTTTATAAAAATTGCTCAAATAAAAGTTGTTTGTAATATAATTCTCTATAATTTTTATTCTATACATAATTTCTCTAAAATGGACCGTATTCGAGATATTTGAGAAAATGTGTAAATTTCGAATTTTGAAGAAAACTCAAAAACGGATAAAGAAAAAAACATTAAATTTTAAACTTAAGGTTTATTTCGGCCTGACGTGAAATGATTAGATTTTGGACATAGTCGGAACATCTGGGGGGGTAGTTTATGGGAGGCCACTTGTATATTTTATGGAATATATCTGTTATTAATGTTTGGAGAAAAAAATTGTTCAAATAAAAGTTACTTCTAATATTATTATCTATAATTTTTGTTTTTTGTAAAAATTTCCTGAAATGGTCCGTATTCGAGAAATTTGACAAAATGTGCAAAATTCTGATTTTTATGAAAGTTTTTAAAATAAAAGTTGTTTGCGATATCGATCTCTATAATTTTTGTTTATGCATGATTTTTCTAAAATGGACCGTAATGAAAAAATTGTAGGAGATTTAAATTTTTCAGTATTTTCGTTTTCCATGAATATCTATAGAAAAATGTTTCGAGGTAGATGTATGTGGACAATGTATATATTTAGTTTATCCTCTAAACATTTATAGAGATGCTGTAATAGGTTGTACAAAATAACCGGAAAAAGCCTACAATAACTAGATAGGAAAGTCATGTGTTGGACACATCAGATTTTTAACTCAGAACTCCACTTCTTCCTTGGCTTGACGATTGATGGCGCTGTGACTCCCGTAACTTGTGTAACGTTGCCGGTTTTAACAAAGTCCTGGGCATGTCATTGCGTTACAAATTCAATTGTAGTCACCATCTTTTAAGGGAGATATCTCGGAAAGTGGTGGGTTGAGAAAATTTTGTTATAGGAAAGACCCATCTTAATTTCATACGAGCAACCACCTCCTGAATTTTGTCGCATGCATTTAGAAACACCCTGTATAAATACGGTATTAATATTCAACAAGCGATTCACCTACAAATTCAGTATTGACCTGGCAATA